GGGAGGGAAGGGGGGTGCGGAGGAGGAAGAAAGGGGGGTGTAGCATTTTAAAGAAATGCAGCAACTTTCCAGTCTTTGCTTAACCTGCCATTTCCCCTGTTCATTTCTTGCACTCATTCAGGATATCCCTTGCTCATTAGCTGGGTAAGTATCTCTCTTACATTACATGCCAGACTTGCATTATTTGTGCACAATAGCTTTTCTAACTCCAAGTCAGACAGCCATTCCACGAATTCAAAAGGACTTTTTAGCGCCAAGAATCTGAAAACATGAATCTAGTAAGACTCTAGAGGTGCTAATAGAGAATCAAGTAACAAAATTTCATGGTGTTTTTTTTTTTTTAGTACATGATCTAGTATCAAGTGGTAACACGCAATGAAACATGAATGTTAAATGCACTGTTTTTCTCACTCCAACCTATCTCATGCCAGCTTTAATACCTGTAACAAAGTAAGGCTTATGCTGACATTCTGAATACAACCTTAACTGTCACTAACATGCCTATATTGTGAAAGCTGCAATTTTACTTTCTAGTCAAAGATATACATTGACACATAACTATCATTTTTCCATTATTAGTATTTTCTCTCAAGCAATAAAATAATGCAGTTTTAAGAAACACATCCACTCGCTGTTACTATACGTACTGTGGTTAAGGAAAGACTTCTATTTCAAAAGCAAGAAAGTTCAACAGTCAAAAATGCTGCGGGATTTTACCTGGATGAATAGGAGGCATATCCATTGCAGGTCTTCCTGACATCATTCGTGGGTCCATGTAGGACTGCATCATAAGCCACCGTGGATCAAAGCCCATTGAAGCTAAATGCTGAGGATGCGGCTGCATGGGCTGGTAAAGGGGTCTATGCTGGGGAGGTGGGACAGGGCCACTAGAAGGCTGTGAGGGAGCAGACTGGGGAAGGACACCTTGCTGTTGTTGCTGCCACTGCTGCTGTTTCATTTGCTCCTGTGTAACAGAAAGCAGTCTTACAAGACTTTTAAAAGAAAGACTTGAGCAAAACTCAAATAACCCCTGGAAGCCACAAGTACAGTTATCTCCAGGACACTAAGCATTCCAAAAGTTAACTGAAAACATGCATCAGCATGAACTAGGAGAAAGGGGAGAAAACCAGACTGGACAATTTCGAATACTAACAGTTTTGCTGATGCTCAGCTGAGACACTGAACAACCTATGCTTCGCGCATGTCATTAATGCAAAGTGCTCTTCAGACCAGAGGATCCAAGTCCAAATTATATTTGTGTTACAGCTTTTAAGGAAAAGCTGCAGAAACAGCAATCATCAGACCCCAGGTTTCACACAGCAATGCTCTACCTCCAGCTACTAATGCAAAAAAATGGCCAGTTTCAAAAGCCTCTCTTGCTCTCTGCTCACTTGCATACTTTGCAAGTGACAAAAACTGTTTCATGCAAAAGAATTCCTGCCAATACCATGTATGTTACAGAAGCTGGAAACCAACAGATTAGGCTTTTTTGAAACTCCTGTGGTCATATTATTACTAAGAATGAGGCTGAAGACACCAGTCTTGTAATGAGCTTCCCTCTTTTAATGAACTCATTAGTTACCTGCTGCCTCTGAAATCTTGGTGGTAATGATTTCTGGAACTGTTTAGAATAGCCTGAGGAAACAGCAGGACGAGGCTGAGATCCTGAATCCGGCTCACTCTCATGAGCCACCTGTGAAATCTCTTTCTCATTCCGTCCACTATCTTGTCGGGTAAAGACTGCTTGATCTTCTGAAAAACAAAAACCCAACAAACCCATATGTGGGAGACAAACATGAATCTTAAAACTATGACAATTTCACCAGAATGTCAGATAAAGCATGTTGTCCTAAAATAGAAACAGCCTTCTCTATCCTCACAGTCTTAGTTTCCAAAACTAATAAAGGCAAGAAAGGTGTTGAGAACAACCCCTCAAAGAGAACAGCTGCTGTTGGTACATCTCTCAGTGCCCCTTTTAAGCTCAAACACACTGGGTAATCAAACACTAGCATCTAGGTTGTAACTATTAAGTAATATAAGGAAAAAAAAAAAGAAAAAAAAGTGCTGTATCAATGCTACCATATTTGAATTAAATATTTTTTTTAAATGAACCAAGGTTTGGTTTTACAATTGCTTTTATCCATTTAGAGGATAACACAACCTTATTGAGCACAGTCTAACAGTTCTCCTGTGAAATTCAAGTTCCACTACAAAATTGCATCATTTACCTGCTCTTTATGTCTACTTCTGTAGGCTTGCTGAAAGAACAGAATAGCTGAAATAATTTGCACTGCTTTCTAGCAACATTAGTTGATCCCTCCTTTATAAAGAAAAGAAAGCCTGCTTCTCTTTCCGTACTCCTCAAAATCCAGCCTTAATCAATAAACCAATTTTTTCCTTTCACATTTTGATGAGTTGGCCAAATGGGTCTAACTCAAAGAACTGTTAGCAGCTGTAATGTGCCAGGAAAATAAGTGATCTAGATGCATTCGGTTAATTAGATACACGAATTAGACTCCCAGATTACAACTATGCTCTGTGGCTCAGCTTTAAGACAGACAACTCCCACTTGTGTGCAAACATACCTTTTTCTTCCTTGTTATTCCTGTTTTCACTTTCTTGTTTTTCTACTACATGTGTTGCCACAGGTTCTACAGCCTCAGGAACCTCATGTGCTGGTTTCTCCTTTTCTTTCTCCTTCTCATTCTCCTTCTCTTCTTTCTCCATTTCCTTTTCTTTTTCTTTCTCTCCTTCTTGCTCTTTTGCCTTCTCCAGTTTCTCTTTTTCTTCTTTTTCCTTTTCCTTCTCCCTTTCCCTCTCTTTTTCCTTTTCCTTCTCCCTCTCTCTTTCTCTCTCTCTTTCTCTCTCCCGTTCCCTCTCCTTTTCCCGCTCCCGCTCCCTTTCCCTCTCCCTCTCTCTTTCCCGTTCCCTTTCCCGCTCCTTCAGAGGGTCTTCCCGGGAGGGTTTTGTCACACAGCCGAATTTCTCATTTAACCGTTTTAGCTTTTCAGCACAAGCTGCTTTGCGCTGTTCTTCCATTCGTCTTTCTTCCTCTTCTCGACGCTTACGGGCTCGTTCAACTGCAGCGGATATCTCTGACTGCTGTCTTCTCCTCTGTTTCCAAATTTCATCTTCATCTGGTACTGGTTTAGGGGGAAAGGGTCCCTGCCTGCCAGGTCCTACCTGGCGATCAGGGGGAGGAGGGTGCTGCAATATTAAAATCAGTTAAGTCAAGTTGAACATGTGTTACATGAATAGCCAGCTGAAATACTACATCTTAACTATTTGTCAGCACATGTATTTGCATGACACCTTTAAAAAGCGAGATTTGGGAGAAAAAGCAAGCCCCCACCTGCCTGCTCCAGTTCAGACTCATGCAATGAGCTCAGAAAGGAGAGGTAAAGATTCAGGCGGGCTTGTGCCACTCCTCCCCATCACCAAGGCAAAGTGACAGCAAAGATAAACACCTTTTAGATTTGGTTATAGGCTGATCTAAATCACAGAAGCTCAGGGCAGATCTCCGACTAAAGGCCCCCAAGAAGCCAAAGAAATTCCATGTAGCTCAGGATAAGAGATCTTAATACGGACTTTAAGAATTCTAAGAAGCTACTATGTACACATTTCATTTGGGACTTCATCTCCCCACCTGCCTCAGCAGACAGCCCTCCAGCTCTGTTCCCAAGCCCCTATCCTCTCTAGTTCCCAAAAGGGGTTGGATAACTGAAAGCTCTTGAGACTCTCATGCATTTCATGTACCATTTACAAGATGGGGCTGCTTTACACAGTTAGCAGCACAGCTGTGTTGGGGTCCCATTCTTACTGGCCGAGTACTACAATCATTTTACTTGCTAAAGAAAAGGTTTATCCCCATGTGAAGCATATTTTTACTTTTGTTAGTCTAAACCTCTCCAACACAGCATTAAAAAATTTAACTAAAGCAAATAAAGACAATTCTAATCTTTCTTACCGGTGGTAGAATAGATTTTGGATGAAGAGCAGGACCACCTCTTTCATGTATAGAAGGCTGTGCTGGACCCCGATCCTATTGGATCAAACACAGCACCAGGGTTAAGCAAGCTTGTAACAGTCAAGCTAACAAATTTTAGATTTACTGTTTTCCACTGCATTAAGATACCACACCTAGTGAACAACCTGCACATGCTAAAAATTATCATGCAAAACAACGGCGAGAAAATTTCCACTTTATGTACTGAGCACTAAACAATCACTTTAAAAATTCGCACATCCAGGGTTTATGTTACTGCACTATTTTTCCTTAGATTCAGTGTAGCATCATGAAAGACATGTTCTTTATATATAGAGAAAGCACAAGTAAAAACAGTTCAGGATCCCCCATCCTCGTTATTGCTGGTGTCAAGAGAATACATTTCTGGGAAATTTCAGATAAACCCAAGGGTAGCTCTTCCTGGGAGAGGAGAAATAAAATTAAAAAAGAAGACTGAAGCCTGCATAAGATGAGGTGGTTGTCAGTCTTCCTCTACCAGAGGGTAAATCAAAAGCCAAAACATTTGAGCTAATGAATTTTACATGGTCTGCATAAAAATCTATCTGCCCAAGACATCAGAAGTGAGCTGACACATTACTGCTAAGCTGCATTACAGAAAGTGGGTCATGATACAAAAAAAAAACAACTCCCCAAAAAAACCCCAAAACCCCACACCCTGGAAAAACGTGTGGGACAACTGTGTGCTATTTACTCTGTGCCACTATAAAGCATGATGGACACCAGAACGGCTTCACTCACAGTTACAGGGATGTACAGACAAAGGTATTGAGTTAAAAGCTTGTCAGTTCAGTCATGCTAACTGACACAAGTGTTCTCACCCCCTCACAGCTGTGGATTAGAACACACTAGATAAAACCATGCTATTTTTATTTTGTGACCAGAACCAGCTAAGTTGACTTAGCAGCACCCGATCAGTTACCAGAACTCAGATAATGCTTTCAGCAGCTAATGCTTTCACTGATGTTCATATCCTTAATTGACCTGACTGTAAAGACAGCTGAGCTGAACCTTTCCTGATGAGGCTATTGCCAGAAGAGCTGACGAGAAGAACACACAAACCTGATCAAGCTGAGAACTTTTGCCGTATGACCCTTTGGCTGCTGCTGTGGAAACCTGGGTGGCAGACTTAGCACTTGTCTGTTCTTCTGCATCCTTCTGGCCATCAGGACTCTGTGAATCTTTTGATGGTGTTTGTTCATCACTATGTGCAGAGAAGTAAGAAAAATGGAATGGATATTCCACATAGGTATTTGGTGATTTATCTTCTATCCTCAATGATTTTTAGCAAGAGCAAAAGCTCCTCACAGCAAGGAACACTACTACACGCCCACCAGCTGATTGGGGCCTGCAGGCAGTTACGCAATTTAATACAGTATTCAATCACAGGAATGTTTTTGGAATGAGTACTTGCACTCATTTCATTCAACCTTTCCAAACACTAAGCTAGTTAAGTGGTATTCACACCCAACTGGCAACACAGACTCACCCACTCTCCTTCTCTTTTTGACTACTTCCTTGCTCATCATCATCACTGAAGTTCAATTGTTCAGTGTAATCCACTTCACTCTGAGCACCTGATGCATAAGCAAATATTCAATTAATCTTTCAGAAAGATTCAATGTACAAATAACAAATATCATTAATCTGATGTTCTTACCTGCCCAGCCTTCATCAGCCTCAGCATCTAGATTATCAAATTTATCAAGTTCTTTAAGTTCACTAGCACTAAGAATGGATGGGCGCTCAATAGGTTCTGAACACCATGAAGGTGGTCCTCTTCCCCTGGGCCCTCTAAAAAAAGAGAGGGAAACAACGGCCACTGTCACTATTTATCCACAAAATGAGTAGATAAATGGTCAACTTGTATGACTATTATCTGAAGTATACAGTACTGTTCTCTCAATACAGTATGGCACCCACATGTGCGACTGCTGTAGTTTCATTAATTACAGCTACACCAAATGGTTATTTAAAGAAGAGAAAGATTAGATGCTGTAGCCTTACTTGCACACTTCACAAACAAGCCAAACATCAGTTGACAGTAGAAAATTAAATGCCTTGTAGCTTTCAAACAACACACTGCATAGATCTGGCATCCTTCTTAACACCAATTAATCCACCTCAGAGATATTTCTACTTTTCATGCTTTCCCATTGTTAAAGATTCTGTACCTTCTCCCTACTCCTACATTCAAGTTCTCCCAGTCAACCCTCTCAGCCTTTCTGTCCTCTTCCTGATCCCACCCAGTTTGTACCCTACTGCCTATAGCATCCCCTGTTTCCTCATGCTTGTGCACAGTCATCCTCAACTATGGAGAAATGCACAGAAAGGAAGAAGATGAATTTTATAATGCATTAGAGTTCTTTAATTGGAAAGCAGTAGAGTTGAGAACCAGGAACTAACTACTTTCATGGTAACAATGGAAAAGTCCTTTTACAGGCAAAAGTACTGGTGGAAGTTTCAAAGGCGTTCCCAAGTGACTCCTGCTCTTCCTGTAACACGCGGAATTCCCTCAAGTTTTATAGCTGAGTTGTCAAACACAAATCACTCCCAGCACTGCTCCACACAGCCAAACTTGAGAGACTAACCAGTAGCAGCTATTATGTGGTACATGATCATAATCAAGATACACAATGCAAATTTTTTTTTTCATTCTTGAGTCACCAACAGAGTTCATACCCACTAATCAATAACACTTGTAAAGTTTCTTACCTGCTAGGCTCAGAATTGGGAAACCTTGTTGGACCTTGCATGGAAGGAGGATATGCCATTCTAGGATACTGATTAAACATCTAAGAAAGGTTTAAAAACAGGAATCGTTCGTTAAAAAGTACAACTGCATTAAGCATACTGAGACCATCAAAAGAATCACAACTGCAGTAAAGCAAGACTCTTGAGACAAGTTTGCTTAGTATCTCAAGTGTGTGATATCAGGTCATCAAGGTGGAGTGATTACAAGTGTTAACCAACTCCTGACAAACTGAAACTCAGTGTAGCAAGAGTGGCAACTAGTAGCCACGTCCTTTGAGGAGCTGGTTGCAATCTCACCCTTCCAGCAGAACTGCTAAAGTGTTCCATGGAGAGAGGAGAAAGGGGCATGAGGAAATTACACTAGCCATTACACAATCCCTGCTGCTTTAAAACTTTTAATGTAATCATCACTTACATAAGGTGGCATCATTGCTCTGTACTGAGAAGAGATAGGTGGTTGCTGCTGGCCATTCAGCTTGGGCTGAGGGACCTGTGGTAACCGCACATCTCTCTTCTCTGCTGCCTTCTGGCCATCATTTTGTTCTGTTGGTGTAGCATTACCATCTTCTTGTCCAAGGGCCTTAGCTTCTTGATCAGTTGGAGAACTGGGTGAGTTGCTCTTATTACCACCTTCTCTCCAACTAGTAGCATCTGCATGGACAGAATCAGTATGAGAAAAAAACAAGAACAGACTTTATATCTCAGGTTTACAGAGAGGCATGATGAAAAACATTCTTCTCCACCCACTTTTCAGTAACACAGCAATCTGTGCACACACGTTTGTATCTGGTACCAAAAGCAATGGCTGCTTGATAAAACAGAGGCTGTTTTCTATCCTCTTTTAGCCCTACATTCAGCTGTGCTCCTGAAGTGTAAGAGTTAAAGTTATAGACCACTCTAGTTGTCCTACTCTACCTTCCAAAACACAATGCAATTTAGGAAGGATACTGATTATAGCACAGGAGAGAAAACAGATTTAGCTGTGGTAAATGGGCCACTGCTGACTCAGTGTGAAGATGCTGTCAAGGGAAAAGATCGAGCTTCTAAAGCAGCAAAGGCCTACCATGAAACTCTAAAGCAGCTCAAAATGACATACACCTGTGCACTATCTTTCTAAGTGAAGAGAGATATCCAGTCTGGCTTGTATCTCTGTCTGATAAGGATGGAATAGAAACGATGAGGGCTGTGCTTCTGGGTGTGAATGTCTAGCAAAAAGTCCAGGAAAAGCAAAGGATTTTAATGACTTGTGCCAGGTAGTCTTTTTTTTTTAAGGAGTTTCTGCCTACACAGCATGGGTTAGGACAATAAAAACAATAAACTTAACAGCAGTGTTCAGATCCATGGGGACCAAGAAAAATTCAGACATGCTCTGTAATGACTGTTCTATTAGGGGCACAAACCCTTTATGTGGTATTAAACTACACTCCTAAGTATCCATTACAGTTCTTCCACTTATCTTTGCTGGGGAGCACAGCTGCTAAAGGGGCAGTACTCACCAAGTTCATCAAGCTTTCCACCGTCAAGACTTGTAAGAAGGGCTTAATATTGCATGTACACAGTGCTGACCAATACTGTTAACTGCCTGTAGGAGGCTGGAAGAAACACACATAGCTATGTCCCTAATTTGGTGCTGGGCATCTCCTGAATTTCTTGGCAACTTACTCTCTACATCAAAATCAAGTAAGGACCTGAACACAGTGCCCATCTTGCCTATCACTGTCACAAGAAAGTGCTACCTACAGTGCATGAAAAGATCCCTAGTCCACCAAACCTCATTGGAAATACTTCTGAGGAAGAAAGAAATCCTAGTTTTCACTGGAAACAAGCACAATCCCAAATGCTTTCCCACTAAAAGGATCTGGGGAAGCAATACATATTTATTCATCGAGACATGTAAAAACAACACTGTTATGGTTATTTTCACTAGATCTAATCCCCCACAGCTGAAACAGATCCAGCTAGTCAGAGCACCTCAGCCATGAGATAAAGATGTGAATGCCTTTCAAATCACAGTCCATTCTTTTGGTATGCTGTAGATTTAACTTCCTATTTGGGATTTTTCTAGCTACTCTGAGTACTAACCATTTGGAGACAACTCTAATGATGATTTATATAATATTAGGAGAGTTCTTTAAATACATATTTTAGCTGCTGTGACATCTAGCAGCTGGATGTAAGAAAATGGCAGGTTGTGCAACTAACAAATGTTCCTCAGAGTACAAATGAAGTACTGACTAGGCTGGGAAAATGGAAAGTGAACTCCAGGATAGGATTAAATACCTAATTTTCCACACACCAGGAACACAGTAAAGCAGAAGAAAGTTCCAAAAATCTGTTTCTTCAGTGTAGAAGTGTGTTGATTAAAACAATCAATTAACCAGTATCTTCTGTATGGGACATAAGTATTCTTGTATGAACAAGTTTCATGCAAACCCATGCGATTTCACAAAAACTTGTAGTATATACTTACTTTGTGGCCGCAAGTTGGGTCCCGATCCATGAAGTTCTTCAGGAGTATCTTTCTCCTTGCCTGACTTTTCCTGATCCCCAGCTGCCGGCAGACTGGGAAACTCTTGCTGGAAATAACTATTTACTTGAATAGGAGGACCTGCAGTATAAGATATTCACAAAGTCTCAGCTTTCTGTAGTCAAAAGAGTTCAGAAAGTGGTAAAAGCCTCATCATCCTTAAAAAGGGGATGTTAAAGCCACATTAATTTACTGGTAACATAATTCACATAAGCAAAGAGCAATCTGTGTAAACCATTCCCATTTGCTATCAAAGTTGTTAAATTTAATAGGCCAACTATCTCGCCTGTTGGGGCTGAAAAATCCAGAAGCACCGGAGAGCAATGATGGACAACAGAACAAGACTTAACGTGGAGATTACCTGAAGTTTCTCAGCTCTCTTAATACTCCCCTCCCTGACAGATTTCCCTTTTTTTTATTCTCCGACTGCAGTCACCTCAAGAATAGGCAACAATGTTAATTGCAAAAGCCCTGAAGATTAATTACTCATTCTAATAATTCTTCAGGATTTTAAAAGACCAAAGCTTTTATACTGTGAGAAAAGTATCAGACTGTAGCATTCTTTGATTTCTAAAACCCTTGATGTTGTAACTCAAAGATTGGAATTTAAGACTTCTGCTGCATGTGGTAGGGAAGCCAAATATATAAACTGTGTTCTTATTTAGAAAGTTTTGTTAGCATATACTTCGAATCAATTTCTCACCACCACCCCCCATTCACCTAATGCATACTGACCTATTAGGTCAACGATGTTCTAGGACCAGATCACTGATAATCTTACTGAGGGAAGTTTTCTATTCTGACAGCCTGAATAACATCCTGTTCTAATACCTGTCTTAACTACTGGCTACTATTAGAGACATTGTATTAGGCTCCACGACTACAGGGCAAACTCACAATAAAGGATCTGAACATATGCTGCCCCACAGCTCCCAATCCCCATGATATACCTTTTGTTTTAAGCTAACAGCTAGTATGCTTGCTTGACTCAATCTTAAAAAAAAAGAATCCTTTGCAACAATAAAGCACAGGATCCTGATTTTTTTTTTTTTAAGATTGAGTCAAGCATAGGATAAACTACCTACTGTTTGCACTTTCTTTGTAAAGGCATGCCAGCGAATACCATTATTTATGTACACTAAATACACAAATATTGTGCCTACAAAATGCCTTGAAATATTACAATCTTCATTGTGACTTCATGTACTACACACCACATTAACTTGTTTTCTGTTAATGTACACTGGATTCTGGGTGTTCCCATGCAGCTACATCCAATGACTTGCTTAAAGGGACTGAAAGTTGCAGTCACACTAACCAGACGGCCTGTTAGGCAAGGAAGCCTCTTCAGAAGTCCTGTGGCATGCAACATTCATGAGTTTTATGAATCTTGAAATACGTTTTTTGCTCAAGTCTACACAGTAATAGCAGCAATGTTTTAACTGCAAAGTAACAGCATCCTCAGTGATCAGTTTGACTGTGCTTAAGCTATCAATGTGAAATAGCCAGATTGTCAGCCAGCAGTTCAGAAAGAAGTTAAAGAATTCAAAGATGTTATGGCAGCAATTAACTTTTAGCCAGCATATAACCTTAAAAATCAATGCTGCCATTACATTTTAGAAGTCCTTCCTTTCTACATGGCCACCAACATCAGAGAAGGATTCAGTCTTGCCTTATCCAACTGAAGTTTTACAAGAGCATGAGGCAGCTGGCTGAACGACTGCTGGAATGAATACAAGGCATCTGGAGAAACTAAATGTTCCACCAGCCCCAGCCAAGTGCATTATCAGGAAAGCATGAGCACAACAGGTGTATCCCCAGTTTCAAACTGAGGAGTATAGCAAGCAGCTGATGCCAGTTCACATTCTGTATTTCTTTTTCAAACAGTAAACCCACTACTGCATTAATTGAATGAAATGAGGTCACCATCTGGGCTTGGCACACAAGCTGCCATAGTAACTACAAAATAATTAGCTAAATGCATTTTGAAGTCACTGAGCTGAATCACTATTTCCTGTATCAGAGAGAATATCTTATCAGCTTATGTAGGAAGGCTGGTATGCAGATCACTTTGCATCAGTGTTAATTCTGTTTTCTTATTCTACAAAAATCCTGTAAAAGCTTAAAGGAAGAGAGTTCCTGTATTTGACAACAAAAGGAAATACTGAACATTAGAAAGGAGAGCAAGACATGCCACTTCTAATATTTATTGGGGGGGAAGGCAAAATCATTAGATATGTGGTGTTAACAAATTCCATAGAATGACCTAGAAGTTACCTCCATGCAATTCACATTTTACTATCCTAAGATGTCTATCCAGAAGAGAGCTCACTTCAACCTGGAAGCCAAAACTCTATTTTATAGCCACAGAAAGCTTGAAAGTCTCAAATTTAAGGAATAAAACAGATTGTAGTTTATTTTTCATAATGGAGACATAGGATAGGAATTCTAAGTAACCTCTCACTCTACAAGCAATTTAAAAAAATCTGAAGATTTAGCTCTGATCTTACATCTGTAATGAACAGACCTGGGGATGTCAACTGAAGGCTGGCTGAACATGAGCCAGCTTGTGCCCAGGCAGCCAAGGTGGCCAACATCATGCTGACCTGTATCAGAAATAGCGCAGCCAGCAGGGCCAAGGCAATGATTATCCCCCTGTACTCAGCACTGGTGAGACCACACCTCAAATCCTGCATTCAGTTCTGGGTCCCTCACTACAACACAGATACTGACTTGCTGGAGCAGGTCCAGAGAAGGGCAATGAAGCTGGTGAAGGGTCTGGAACACAAGTTTTATGAGGAATGGGTGAGGGAACTGGGGGTGTTTAGTCTGGAGAGTCTCCCTTAGTCTGAAAGGTTGTAGCAAGGTGGGTGCTGGTCTCTTCTCCTGTCGTGGTTTAAGCCCAGCTGGTAACTTGGAACCATGCAGCCGCTCGCTCACCCCCCCCGCTTCTTCCTCCTCCCGCTCTGGAGGGATGGGGAAGACAATCGGAGGAATGTAACTTCCACGGGTTGAGATAAGAGCAGTCCAGTAACTAAGGTATAATACAAAACCACTACTGATACCAATTATAATGATAAGGGAAATAACAAGGGGAGAGGATACAACTGCTCACCACCCGCTGACCAATACCCAGCCCGACCCAAGCAATGACCTGGGCCTTCTGGGTGACTCCCCCCAGTTTATATACTGGGCATGACGTGATGTGGTATGGAAT